GCACTTTTGCAAATATGCGATGTCTTGATAAACCAAGCAGATATTTGCAATTTACACAGCTTCTTTCTTGCCTGAAAATATCTTAAAAGTTTCTTTTGTGACCCAGAAAGAGTAATAAGACTAATTTTAAAACTTAGCAGCGGCCGCCATTGTTGCCAGCTGAAATTTGGCTTGGCCGCGCTATGATTTCTGGGATATGGTGGGCCACGAAGGACACACCCGACCCATCCTTCAAATTCGGGGAAATGAAGGACGCATTTGTCGGCCGCATTTGAAGGAGTCGACGAATTGGTTGGCTTAGATGCTGGCAGTTCTCGCTGCAGTCTACCGTTAGCGTCTCCTTTCAGGCCAGGATATACGAATGTCACCGAGCAGTGTCTAAGTTTGTGGTAAAAGGCTTGCACCCATTTGCACCCAGAAGTGTGAGACGGTCGATTTTCGGTAAGTGAATGTGTTTAATTGTAGGCAGGGACATTACTGGATATTCTTGTGTAATTGCTACAGAATAATTTATGTTATACTTTGTTATTGCTACAGAAGAATATTTATTTTATTATTTTACATTTACAATTTTTTTTCCTGGGGACCCCGTGACACCCCATTGAAGAGCAATAGGCTGGATCTCTTAAGGATCTCTTAAGATCTCACTGTTGGGTTTGTAAGGCCATGTTACTCCTAAATTTCTGTCTTGTTCAAAGAGAAGATATAAAACAAAGTTCTATGCTAATCGACCTTAGTGTTCTCCTTTTTTTTTCAAAAGAATCGATAAGAGAATCGATAAAGAATCGAATCGTTAAACAGAATCGAAAATGGAATCGGAATCGTAAAAATCTTATCAATACCCATCCCTAGTAAGAAGTCTGGGCTTCTAGAAATCAATAATCTGCAGTCAATCTTTCTGCAATGAGAAGAGGCTGGTAAAAGGCTTTCAATCACTTTTAAACTTTGAGCAGGAAAAAGTAACACTTAAAAACTGTGACTGGCTTTCTGTTCTGCTCACATTTTCTACTGAAGTATTCCCTGTCAGGAAGGCTTCATTTCCTGTTTGCAGAAACAAAATTGTTCATGCCACTTCCTGTGTCCTAAACACAATCTTTGCTGCCAGAGAAATGCAATTCTGTAGAGGAAAAGAAGCGCATTTACAGGTTACTGCCTAATTTATTTTTTTTTTCTGTCCACAATTTGGACTTTGGTGCAACACTTTGTGACTGCAGTTAGAAAAATGACTCAAATTTCAAGAGATTACACAACATGTATTTATCTCTGTGTTTGTTCAGGGGTGCTTCTCCAAGACTCGGTGCCCTCCTTTGCCAGGCAGCATATTCCCAGCTGCTGCAGACTGACCTTTTACCTTACCAGTGCCCTGAGGAACCTGAAGGTGACCAAGAAGAGAAGGCAGACGACAAAGCAGTCTGTATGTTTGTGGTGCTTTGAATATATTGCATTATACTGAAAGATGCCAATTTGAATTTCAAGCAGACAGTTGTCTGTCCAGGATCATATATCTGATATTACACTCTCCAAGTAACTTGATACCAACTTATCACTACCAAATATCATTAGCGGTACTAACACAGAACACATTCACACTTGACTTCACATCTCAGGCCTTATTGGCATGTTCGCAGATTATAATTTATCTTTTACAGTGCATTTGAGGGGCTGCAAAGGGGAGATGATAATTTATCCAATACATATCCCCCTGTCTGCTGCCACACAGCCAACTTGGGCACAGCCTGAGCATCGATGATGCCACATGTGTGTGAAAGGGTCCGTTTTAATACAAACAATTATATTTTCAGTTTCTAAAGTTTTTAAACAAGTAAAAAACTAAAATTGAAACTATGAGTAGACCTCTCCTCTATAAGGAACTGGTGTACATTTGCATAGTGTTTGGCAATGTTGCATTGCACTGCACTGAAAAGTGGTATTTTGACTTCCATCCATTCGCTTCCACTT